AACTATTGGTGGAAGGAGAGTTCTGGGAGGGACATGAGAGCGCTTAGTACAGAAGAAGGACTCTCTATGGACTGTTATGTTCTCCTGGTTGTACTATTGGTGGAAGGAGAGTTCTGGGAGGGACATGAGAGCGCTTAGTACAGAAGAAGGACTCTCTATGGACTGTTATGTTCTCCTGGTTGAACTATTGGTGGAAGGAGAGTTCTGGTGGGACATGAGAGCACTTGGTACAGATGGAGGACTCTCTATGGACTGTTATGTTCTCCTGGTTGTACTATTGGTGGAAGGAGAGTTCTGGGAGGGACATGAGAGCACTTGGTACAGAAGAAGGACTCTCTATGGACTGTTATGTTCTCCTGGTTGAACTATTGGTGGAAGGAGAGTTCTGGTGGGACATGAGAGCACTTGGTACAGATGGAGGACTCTCTATGGTCCATTGTGTTCTCCTGGTTGTGCTATTGGCGGAAGGAAAGTTCTGGGTGGGACATGAGAGCACTTGGTACAGAAGAAGGACTCTCTATGGACTGTTATGTTCTCCTGGTTGTGCTATTGATGGAAGGAGAGTTCTGGGTGGGACATGAGAGCGCTTGGTACAGAAGAAGGACTCTCTATGGACTGTTATGTTCTCCTGGTTGTGCTATTGGTGGAAGGAGAGTTCTGGGTGGGACATGAGAGCGCTTGGTACAGAAGAAGGACTCTCTATGGACTGTTATGTTCTCCTGGTTGTGCTATTGGTGGAAGGAGAGTTCTGGGTGGGACATGAGAGCACTTGGTACAGATGGAGGACTCTCTATGGTCCATTGTGTTCTCCTGGTTGTGCTATTGGCGGAAGGAAAGTTCTGGGTGGGACATGAGAGCACTTGGTACAGAAGAAGGACTCTCTATGGTCCATTGTGTTCTCCTGGTTGTGCTATTGGCGGAAGGAAAGTTCTGGGTGGGACATGAGAGCACTTGGTACAGAAGAAGGACTCTCTATGGTCCATTGTGTTCTCCTGGCTGCTACTGCCCTAGCTTGTCTCAGATTTTTTTTATCACTTTCAGCCAAGAAGCCAAAACATATCCTTGATAAAATGGCGGGAGATTGTGGTGGAATTTCGGTGAGACCTCGTACACTTCATATTGTTGATATTATGGAAGTGACTTAGTCATGGAGTTGAGCGGCACTATACGGGAATTGACAGATGAATTTTAGAGGAACCCTAAGAGCAATACTCGGCTTGTGCCTGGGCTGAGAAGAACAAGAGACATACGGCCTCAGGAATGTCAGATTTATGGTTAGTTGCCGTGACGTCGGCCTTGGCAGCCGATCCCGTTGTGGCCGATATGGTTATATTGTAAAATGTCCTATTAAAGGAAGCCTGATTGTTGCTGGTTCCCGCCTGTTATCATTAAACCTGCCAAGTGAAGCTTCCGCCCGATCCCTTTGCTGTTCTACTTCCTGATATTTGGTGTATCCTGGTTTTTTCAGGAGGCCCGTGCTCAGAATATATATACCGACTGCCATTGCTGAGCCCAACTCTGGGAAATGCTCATCACCGGTGATCTTGGGTACTTTATGAGTCATTGAGAAGAAGACGAATGAAAAATTTTGACTTTCTGATGACCTAAGTAGGTAAATCCTTGTTCCCGGGTCAGGGAGTTGGGGAAGTATTGGGGTCAGAGACAGCCTGACAAGAAGAATTCTCAGAAGGAGGTCAGCGATGGCATTGTCAGGGACTATAGCACCTCCAGGTGGCGCTGGAACCAGGTCCTGCAGTTCCTGCGCTCACCTGCGGGTGTCTCCAGGCAGCCAGGAGCTGTTAGGTACCAGACCACTACTGGGTGGTGCTGGAACCTGCAAGTCCAGTGCTCACCTGCGGGTGTCTCCCTGCCATCGGCGATTATTCACCACCTGGTGCTACCTGGGGGGGGGGTATTTAATCCCTCCCTGCAGTGTGGATTTTGGCTCAGTATTGTCGCCATTTCCTGAGTCCTGGTGCCCCCTTGTACCCTGACCATTGCTCGGTGGCTCGCCTTGTGTTGCCTCGCTCCCCACGTTAGTTGGCTGTTGTTTGATACTTGTGGGTGTTGGTGTGGGTGTTGGTGGGGTTGTAGGTGGGGTTGTAGGTGGGGTTGTAGGTGGGGGTGTAGGTGGTTACATGATTTTGGTGTGTATAATAAACTGTGTATGAGCTCATTGGCATTGTCTGGTGTGGTCACGCATTTGGTCCTCCAGTGGGGGTACCTGCATGCGGTGTGGGGACACCGGCGCACAGTACAGATTTCCTCTCACCCCTCCGACAACGTCCCGCCACAGAAGCAGTCCTATGCGATGGGACCTTCATCTGAGGGACCACCATGGACCATGCCCTAGCCCAGCAACAACAGTGTGCAGAAGAAGACCATATCATTATATAAGAGAAGATACCTCATCCCAGTGAGTCACATGAGCGCTTTCAGAGTCTTCTAAGCTCCTCCTCCTCCTCCTTCCCTCGTGGTCACTCTTAAGGTCTTGGTCTTCTTCATGGTCGTGGTCGTGGTCGTCTTCGCTCACCAACTTCAGCTGAATCATAAGGGAGGTGAGTTCTGAAAGCAGATATTATTTGCATGAGCCTTTAAATCGGACCTCCGCCCATGTCCCCTCATTTCCTCTCAGCTTTTCCTTGAAGAAGAACTCTGGGAATTGTAGAAATGAACCCCGGCAGTGGGGCTACCCCGGCGCTTCAAGGGTTAAGCACTCGCTTCGGGCCTAGAGGTCCTAAAATTAAAAAAAGATATACTCGCCCAATCCTCGGTCCCACCTGACTGCCCACAGCCTCTTCTCCGCTGGGATCCGGCGGCCTAAGGATCTGTGATGTCATCGCATCCGCTGACTTGCATTAGACGTGGGAACGCAGAGGGACAGTCCACAGCTGGAGGGGAGGGGGAGAGAGGTGAGCGGTCACCACCGCGGGTCGGGGGATCTGGTGAGTATGTCGTCTTTGTTTTAGACCCTAGACCAGGGGTAGGCAACCTCGGCTCTCCAGCTGTGCTGAAACTACAAATCCCATAAGGCATTGCAAGCCACAGGCATGACTCCCAGAGGCAGAAGCATGATGGGATTTGTAGTTTCAGCACATCTGGAGAGCCAAGGTTGGCTACCCCTGCCCTAGGCCACAACAAGCAGTGCGGGGATAGCTCCACTGCAAGCCCGGAGCTCTTCTTTAAGTGTACATTATCCTGACCAATCAGCTTCTCTTATTTCTTCTCCTTTGGTCTGTTACATATATCTCATGTTATATCTGTTCAATGAGCGCAGAAATACCCGTTGATCCTGCCAGAAATCTTCTCAGCTGATAACATTCTGTGCTCTCTACCCGTGCTGCACTCTTTATCAGGCACACTGTTCCCAGCTATCTCTATGCACTACAGAACTCCTCCCCCTTTGTCACGGAAAAAAAATGAGATGGGGGTGCTTTGTAGTCTTGTCCTAGGAGAATGGTTGGCCTGCTGATTAAAGGGGAGGGTCAAGCTCGAAGACAGCGACACCGGGGTCGGTCAGTCCAAGTTGTGGAGGATCACCCTCTCCCATGTACTGGCGGGATAAGAGTGGTCTGTGGGCACCTCAGGCACTTCCTGTCCTATCTGTAACTTCAGACATTTCCCCATCAAGACCGCCATTGAGGTTTGATTGGGTGACACGGACGGAGCACTGGCTGGGCAGACCTGCACTGCTGAGCCCTAATAATGGAGCTGATAGAAGGTTCCCTGTAGATGTTTCCGGGAAGTTCCGGTACGTCAGGTGACTTATTCTGATCACATGTTCTCCGGCCTTACCATCCAGGTCGAGGGTCTCGTTCTGCTTGTAGATGAAATTTAGAAAGTACTCCCGAGGAGGCAGAAGGGTCATACAGGACCCCTCCAGAACCGCGCTGACAACGGCCTCTGTGATTTCTGCGCTCACGTGGTCGGGGTCAGAGGTCATGTTCAGGATATCGTCAGCATTAAGGCAGCGTTCAGTCTGAAAAGAGAATAAAGGTTTGTGTGAGATGGGGGCCCATCAGCTCCCTCACAAATCCATGTGACCTTTCCTGGGGCTATGACCTTTCCTGGGGCTATGACCTTTCCTGGGGCTATGACCTTTCCTGGGGCTATGACCTTTCCTGGGGCTATGACCTTTCCTGGGGCTATGACCTTTCCTGGGGCTATGACCTTTCCTGGGGCTATGACCTTTCCTGGGGCTATGACCTTTCCAGAATGCAGCAAGCAATGTGCAGCCACCAATCCCAATTCACCCGTCATCATTCAGGCCGGTGAAACATGAACTGTGATTGGCGGCTTTCTAAATAAACCAGACAACCCATCAGCACCCCATTCCTCCCAGCACCCTATGAGCACTCCATTCACCCAACAGCCCATCACCACCTCATTCCTTGCAGCACCCTATGGGCATCCCGTTCACCCAACAACCATCACCACCTCATTCACCCAACAACACATCATCACCTCATTCCACCAGACCAATGAGGATGTACACACAGGCAGGAGCCACAGACACACTAGAACTCGGTCTACCAGAGTCCCATTAAAAGAAGATGAAATGTACATGGTTACTAGAGGTTGGGGCCGGTCTCTCTCTCTCTCTCTCCAGCTGCTGTCCTAGTCCTGCGCATTTCACCCCCACCCCAAGTCTACTATTAAACTTGACCAAACTCCCACCAATCACCTTTAACAACATCACATCCTCCCACTCACCACCATTGTATACTTCACCCATTGGAACTTTCCTATAAAGCTGCACCCCCATCTCCCGGGATATGTTCTGCCCCCCCATCTCCCAGGATATGTCCTGAC